ACCGGAGACTGCTGCCGCAAACAACCACTTCAAAAATACAACTAAAAGATGGAACGGACATCAACCAGAACCACAGGAAGGCTGGCTAAGGAGAGACTCTTCAACTAGAAGCAAAGACAACAGCATTAGGAGGCTCAGAGGAGGCGCAGTGTGGAAAATTTAAAGGTGCGGAGGTGCGCGCGCAAAGTGGGCTGGTGGCTGAGGGCGCGGTTGTTGTTTTCAATCAGGAGGGAGTCTCAGACTCTGAGCTCCAGATTCGGGCGAGTCTCTAGGGTCCCAGACTCAAACGGGAGAAGCGGGACTGTCTGGCTACGGTCCCTCCGAGGTTTGCAGCGGTTGCTGGGACAGAGAGGCAGAGCCCCTGGGGACAGACTGAGAGCAGCCATAACTGCTCCCTCCACCCGCCCTACTGATCCCGTGCGACCCGCCCCGCCCAAGCCCTGCGCAGAGCCATTTGCCGGATCGCCTCAGGTAAAGGCTAGATTAGCACCTCCCCAGAGGACAGAAGTTTTCCACACAGCTGATTCTCACAGCCAGTCGGCCTGGTGGTCAAATCCCTCTAGTATTAACTACAACAATTAAGGCTTAACTAGAACAAGACTGCGCACAAAGACCACAAGGGGGTGCACCAAGAAAGCATAAAAGATGCGGAGACAAAAAAAACATGACAGAAATGGAGGATATGGAGCTAAAAAATGCAATTTTGAGGGCTTGCAATAAACTTGAGCAGAGCCTCACAAAAACTAATGAGACCCTCGATGCTACGATAAAGAAACTAGAAATTAAGCATACACGGACTGAAATAAAGAATGTTATACCCAATAGCAGACCAGAGGAGTGCAAGAATCAAGCCAAAGAATTGAAATGCGAAGAAGCAAAAAACACCCAACCGGAAAAGCAAAATGAAAAAAGAATCCGAAAGTGTGAAGATAGTGTAAGGAGCCTCTGGGACAGCTTCAAGCGCACTAATATCAGAATTATATGAGTGCCAGAAGATGAGAGACAGCAAGATATTGAAAACCTATTTCAAGAAATAATGGCAGAAAACTTCCCCCACCTGGTGAAAGAAATGGACTTACAGGTCCTAGAAGCGCAGAGAACCCCAAACAAAAGGAATCCAAAGAGGACCACAACAAGACACATCATAATTAAAATGCCAAGAGCAAAAGACAAAGAGAGAATCTTAAAAGCAACAAGAGAAAGAGACTCAATTACCTACAAGGGAATACCCATACGACTGTCAGCTGATTTCTCAACAGAAACTTTGCAGGCCAGAAGGGAATGGCAAGAAATATTCAAAGTGCTGAATACCAAGAACCTACAACCAAGACTACTTTATCCAGCAAAGCTATCATTCAGAAGTGAAGGTCAGATAAAGAGCTTCACAGATAAGGAAAAGCTAAAGGAGTTCATCACCACTAAACCAGTATTATACGAAATACTGAAAGGTATCCTTTAAGAATCTAAGAATCAAGTGAATAAATAATCTGATGTACAGAATGAACTGGTGATTATAATGAATCAGGGACACAGAAAGGGAATGGACTGACTATTCTTGGGGGGGAAAGGGGAATGGGAGATTCAGGAAGAGACTGGACAAAAATCGTGCACCTATGGATGAGGACAGTGGGTGGGGAGTGAGGGCGGAGGGTGGGGCGGGAACTGGAAGGAGGGGAGTTATGGGGGGGGGGGAGAGGAACAAATGTAATCTGAACAATAAAGATTTAATAAAAAATAATAATAAAAAATAATAAAAAATAAAAAAATCTGCATAACAACCCTAAGAGGTAAGTATTATTATCATTATTTTACAAATGAGGAATCTGAGGCATAGAAAGGGTAAGCAATTCACTAAGAGTAAAATGTTTAAGAGGTGACAGAGTTGAGTTTCAAACCTAAATAATCTCATTCCAGAGCCAACATTTTTAACCACTATGAAATACCCACTGCCACATTCATCTCCAAAGATGAAATAATGGCCATATGAATTAATCAGTAAAGTGAAAGGACAGACATAGTTTGTATCATAAGTCAGCCTGGAGAATTAAGAAAGGATAGTTATTGAATCTGAGACCTGATTGACACATGGGAGGGAATGTGGGCCAAGCACAGTGAATCACACAGGCAGGAGACAGGGTGGGATGTTAGAGGGGAACAGGTAGTTCAGTTTATTTGGAATATAAAATGAGGAAAGGGAAGAAAGGAAATAAGATAGTAAGTCGAAATCGATGAGGCAAAATAGGAAAGGCTTATAGTCCACAGAAAGCAGTTTCAATTTTATCCTGTAGCATGAAGATTTAGGAATCCATTGAAGAAATGTAATCAGGATGGAGACACAATTAGGTTTGTAATTTAAAAAGATCCCTCTGGCAATGATGTAGAGCTATCTTTCTTAAAGGTAAGTACACTGCATTCTTTCAAGAGAAAAATTTTTCATGGACCCTCTCAGTGTTCACTGATACTTTTCATTATGTTTTTTAAATGTGTACATATATTACAAGATATAAAAACTCCTTATGTATTGTCTAAACCAAACTACAAGCCAAATTAAATTTTAATTAACAATAATTTAATGTAATAATATTTTATTTAAAATTGCTACTCAGAGTGTAACTATTTTGATGCAAGTTAATTGGATTAAAGTAAAGAGAAAGGAGAGCTAAGAAACATTGCCTGTGGATTTAAATTGGATCACCTTTAATGTCCTTCAAGAGTTATAGGTAAAGAAATTTCTTTTAAATTATATTTTGTCTGTCAAGCTATATTTGGAAGAACTCTATTTCTAGAATGTGACATCTCAAATCAGACCTTGGAGATCATGCTGCAGTAGTTATAATCACAAGAATTTAAACTTTTAATATTTTTGTTTCTCTGTTAATCTTAAAATGTTTACTATAAAGGTAGCTTGAATCATCTGTATGACTACTTCATAACAAAAGTCTATACACATTTGCCTTTGAGTTTATGATCCAATTATTAACTAACAATTATTTTGGATTGGTGTGAGAAAACAGGTGGGCTTAATGTATAAATGCTGTTTTCCAACATTTCCAGCTGGATGAAAGCTAACTGATCCATGGGGATCTGAAGGAAAGAAGATTGTTCAGTATCTCAAACAGAGGGAAAATTAAGAGAAGGCTGGATCAAATCTACCATTTATTAAGTGCTGACAATGTACCAGGTACTGTGATAAACATCTTACATCCTCTGTTATGTTTAACCTTTACAAAAACCCTATGAAGTTCATATTAATACCCATTTCTATAGATGAGGAAACTGAGGCTTAGAGAGATAGGGATGACAACTAGTAAATGACAGCCAAGACTGGGACCACTCAGCACTAACTTCAGGTCTATGCTCTAAATCAGTGGTCGGCAAACTCATTAGTCAACAGAGCCAAATATCAACGATTGAAATTTCTTTTGAGAGCCAAATTTTTTAAACTTAAACTATATAGGTAGGTACATTGTTATTAACTTAATTAGGGTACTCCTAAGGCTTAGGAAGAGCCACACTCGAGGGGCCAAAGAGCCGCATGTGGCTCGAGAGCCGCAGTTTGCCGACCACGGCTCTAAATGATTAGGCAATACTGCCTGAATGAAAAAGATTATACAGTATTAAGTACATTACCAAAAGGATATATCGCATTCTTAGTTTATAAGTCCAAAGTCATGTTGAATTATGGCAAGTAGATTCTGATAGATTTGTTGTTACAACAGGTTTCAATGGATTTGAAAACACTGTTACAACATAAACTAAAATCAAAAGTAGAGAAAGAGGCAAAAACTACTTTAACACTAAATACCCATAAATAGAGTTCATAGTAATCCCTTCTACTAGTATGGAAATTCCAAATCAGTAATAATAGATCACAAAAGCAAGGTGTCAAGGAGCTACTTTATCACCAAAGCATTTGTCTGTTTGGAGTTCAACATTTTTAGTTCTTAAAATCATATTTGAGTGTGTGTTGGGTTTTGTTGTTCCAATTTGTTTTGGGAAAGAGTGTTATAACCTTAAAAGAAAAATATGACCCTCATAATAGAAAAACAATCATGGGTTCATTCAATGACCACATAAAGATTTTCCTATAGACTGGATTAGGAGCGGGTGGAAGAAATTTATCCACTCGCTAAATATTAATCAAATTCAACTTCCAAAAAGATTTTTTTTATTTTCCAAAATTGAGTTGGCTTAGCAAATATTAACATTTGACCAAGAGGGGCAGAGAAATACTAACAATGAAAGTAAAGAAGAACCAGAAATTATGATATAAAGATATCTAAAATGATATAGGTCGATGAGAAATTAACTTACTAGAAATAAAAGAACACAAAGCTTTGCAGCAATATATTTGTTCTGTGAAACTTATAAAATGAAAACCAGGGCACAGTGGGGAGAGAGAGATCTCTTGCACCACCACCAGTTCTCCTAATTCTCAGCTCAAAGAAGCCAAATAACAATAATATGTTTTCTGATGACTTCTATTATTACTCTATATTTACTCTACTTATTAAACACATTATTCTAGGACTTTCTTTTAAACTACGATAGCAAAAGAAAACACCAAGCATTATTTTTCTAATTGCCTTTCATTGGCAGATACTTAGAGGCCGGCAGGATCGCGTTCTCAGAGGTTTGACCCTCTCTGGTTTCCGTAGAAAGTAGCCAAGTTATTCCAGTCCCCTGCGTTCCCCCAGCACCACGGAAACGAAACTGGAACAGGCTCCGCCCGCCATCTGAAAGTGAGCCAATCAGAGCGCAGCCCGGGCGGATCGCGTGCTGGGTGTCATGGCGGCCTGCAGGCACTGCTGCTCATGCCTCCGGCTCCGGCCGCGGGGCGATAGTGCCCTCCGTCTGCCAGGGCGGGATCGGGCACTCACCCAGTTGCAGGTGCGAGCACTATGGAGTGGCGCCAGGTCCCGTACCGTGGCCGTGGACTTAGGCAACAGGTAAGGGAGGATGTGCGTTTTCTGCCCTTTCACAGGCATTCTGTCCTGTCAGCAATTACTACATTCATCTCCCAGGATAGGAATCTGGCAACCCTAGCCTCTTTTCCCTCCGTTCATCCCAAACCTAAATGCCAAGTTCCCCTCTCCGGGTTTGGAGTCTGTCTCCCTGCACCCTCACTCTTCCCTCCCTGTCTCAGCCTCGGGTCCTAAGGCTTCTTGGTCCTCCTTCTTACCCTGTTCCGGGCTTCCTTTCTTCAGTTGAGTCTGACCACCTGACTCCATTCTCTTTAATTTCGGGGACTCCTGGACTCTGAAATATAAAACATTCCACCTCAGGATAATGAGCTGACATCATCCAATCCTAAAAACGTGGCCAGTATGACCCTAGTTATGAAGGGAAAGGAAACGTAAGTTTATTGAACACCAGTTATATGCTACACTCTTTTTAAACCTGTAGTAAAGGTACTATTACACCCATTTTTATAGTTAAGAAAACAGAGATTCAGAAATGCTCAACAAAGCTAGTACTATGAGACTAAGTGGATTTTGAACTTGTATTTCTGTTTACAAAGCCCCTACTTTTTCCAGGGATCCTTTTGCCAGAATTGACATCTAAAATCACTTTTTAAAAATTGTATTTGAATAATTTTTGAAATAAATGAAACTGCTGTTTATATATATATATACATATATGCATACACACATATGTATACACACACACACACACATTTTTTACATGTACTTTAAAAAAATTTTTTGCCCTAGTTCATATAAAAAGCCAGAACATATGACTTTGAATCCAGGCCTTCCTCCGTAACTTATTGAATGACTGATCTTGAACAAATTACTTCACCACTTTCTTATTTCACAAAACAAGGAGACTGGGCTAGATCAGGAGTCTGTAAACTTTTTCTGTAAGGAAACAGATAGTAATTATTTTAGACTTTGTGGGCTGCATACTGTCTGTCACATATTCGTGAGAGAGAGAAAGGGTATGTTTACAAACCCTTCAAAAATGTAAAAGCACATTCTTAGCTGAAAGACTATACAGAAACAGGCTATAGTTTGTTGACCTCTGCACTAGATGATCTATAAGGCTCTTCCACCTCTGGCATTCTTTGATCCTGATTTTTTGAGGGAGAGGATATCTCTTCCATTCTTCAAGGACTGAACATTCTTCTCTGAAGAAATGACCCTGAACAGTAGATTCAACAGACACCTATTATGTGCTAAGCACTCAGACTCAAAGCAACAAAATCAGCCCCTGCCCTCCAAATTTTCCATAAATGATCATTTGTCAACCTGGAACTCTTTTGTAGCTAGTTCTTTTTAAACCTGTATCATGTGTTGTAACAAGTAGGTTCATAATTATCATTACTGCTGGGTGAGTACATTTTTTTATCTTCGTTATAAGTTCGTTGTTTGCAGCATATAGTATGTGACTGCTATGTACCATGCACTTTATATAAATATATATATGTGTGTGTGTAATTTTTTAATATCCTCACCCAAGGTTATGTTTATTGATTTGAGAGAGAGAGAAACATTGATGTAAGAGAAACATTGTTCAGTTGCCTCTAGCACACCCCCAACCAAGGATTGAACCTGCGAGTGTATGGGACAACGTTCCAACCAACTGAGCCACCTGGCCCAGGCCATGAACTTTATATTTGTTATCATATGAATTTACAATACCTGAGGTTTTATATTATTGTATTTTTCACATGTATTTAATACTCATAGTAACCTTTGAGGCAACTGTTTAATTTTCATTTCAATAAGTTTTTTTGACCATCGACTGTATACAGCGCTCTTGTATGAGGAACTAAGATAAACACAGGTTTAGTCTTGGGAAAATCACTGTGGGAGAGGTATGAACAGGTGCTAAGGGAGCACAGCCATATTTATCACATACTAAAACTTGCCATTGAGGGTGAATCTTGAAGGGCAAGGAGAAAGTGGCAAGTGCATTTCAGAGGTGAGAAAGTGCATTTGAGTAGCTACAAATAACTTACTGTGGATGGAGCAAAAAGTGAAATGTGAGTTTAGCAAATGACATAGGCAGAGGCCAAACCATAAGGTGGTTTGTTTGCTTGTTTAGTTTTTATTACTGAACTTTTCTGGAAGAGCCTTATAGATCTCTCTCGCTGTATTTCTACTTTCTGTGGCTCCTCTCTACTCCTCACTTCCTGAGCTACATTGCTACATCTTCCCACTCTTCTCTCCACCAAAAGGATATCCTTGCTCATCTTACTCTTTTTATTATTTATTTCTTCAAAAGTATTTTTTGATTAGGTATTCACTCACATGGTTCAACATTTAAAAAGCTCAAAAATCTCCTTCCCATATAGTTCCCATATAGCCACCCAGGTCTAATTCACAGAAGCCACTGATGTGTTGTCCATCTTATATGTAGTATTTGGAGATGTTTTATACATAAAATACTAATTTCAGCAACAGGTTGGTGGGAGTCTGCTGATGCTACAGTGTGACTGGTTCTGAGCATCTCATTCACGTACTTCCCCTCCGCCGCCCCCGCCCCGACTATTCCAACTCTAGCCTCATCTCTTCACCTCATCATTCATTCCATCTGTCAGAGGATACCATTTTACTGTGGGCTGTCATCATAACATCTGTGTTGAACAATAGAAACTCAACTGGAATTCCCCAGATATTTCTTGTGGTTAAAAAAAAAATCCCTGTAAGATTTCAAGATCAGAGCTGATAGTACAATGTACATGCTTTATTCTGACTTTCAAATTTAACAAAATGAGTCTTAACTGAATAGATAAATATGCTTTCCATGAACCAAGGCTTCTGGCAAAAGAATGGTTGGAAATATTAAGGGTTGTCCCTTCATCCCTTTGACATGTGATGGACAAAATAATCTTACTTGGGGTGGGGCACTGGTGTGTGTGTGTGTGTGTGTGTGTGTGTGTGTGTGTGTGTGTTTATTTTCAGCACTGGACTATGGTAGAAGCCGAGCTCATGGGTCTGAACATCTTCCTAAGTATCTTCAGGAATCACTGAGTTGGTTGCCTTCACAATACTTTTATGAATTATGGGCTCTGACAAGTTTTGCTGATCTCTTTCAAGCCCTCAGTGACCTCTTTTTGTACTCTGCAGAATCTGGGAAATAAGGCTGACATGCTGCCTATTTCATTTTCAGACATGGGCAAAGTAGGTTTACAGTTGTGAGTACATGAGACAGTTTGTTCTTATATTATTATTTATTAATTATTGTATTATTTATTTGTATTACAACTGTAAACCTACTTTTATGCACCCCAGTATATAAGATAGCTTTATCAAGATATAATTCACATATCATACAATTTACCCATTTAGAATGTACAATTCAATGGTTTTTAGTGTATTAATATAGATTTGTGACCATCACCATAATCAATTTTAGAATACTTTCATTAACTAAAAAAAGAAATCTCTCATTCATTAGCAGTAATTTCCCATTTGTTCTCAGACCACACAGCCCTAGGCAATTAATAATCTACTTTCTGTCTCTATGAATTTGCCTATTCGGGGCATTTCCTATAAATGAAATCAAATGATATGTGGTCATTTGTGACTACCTTCTTTCACTTAGCATAATGTTTCCAAGGCTTATCCATATTGTAACATGTATTAGTACTTCATTTTTTAACGGCTGAATAATATTCCATTATATAGGTTATACCACATTTTGTTTATTCATTCATCAGTTGATAGACAATTGGGCTGTTTCCATTTTGAGGCTATTATGCATAATGCTGCTATGAATGTTCATATGCAAATGTTTGCATAGGTATATGTTTTCATTTCTCTTAGGTATATACCTAGGAGTAGAGTTGCTGGGTCATATGCTATGTCTGTGTTTAACTTTGTGAGGAATTGCCAGATTTATTCCCAAAGCAGGTGCACCATTTTACATTTTCATCAGCAGTATATGAGGATTCCCAGTTTCTCCACACCCTCACCAACACATAATCCTAATAGATATGAAGTAATATATCATTGTGGTTTTGATTTGCATTTCCCTGGTGGCTAATGATTTTGAGCATATTGTCATGCACTTATTGGCCATTTGTAAATCTTTGGAGAGACATCTATTCAAATCCTATGCCAGTTTTTAAAATTAGGTTGTCTTTTTATTGTTGAGTTGTGAGAATTCTTTACATATCCTAGATATAAGTCCCTTATCACATATATGATTTGCAGTTACTTTCCCTGTGGATTTTCTTTCAGTTTTTTTAAAATAGATTTTATTTTTTTTAGAGCAGTATTACTTTGACAGCAAAATTGAGGGAAAGTACAGAAATTTCCCATTTCCACCCTGCCCTCCACATGCATAGTCTCCCCAGTTATCAACATCTCCCACCTTTCTTTTACTTTCTTGATGATATCCTATGAAGCATGAACGTTTTTAATTTTAATGTTCAGTTTATCTGTTTTTTTCTTTTGTTGCTTGTGCTTTTGATGTCATATAAAAGACTTACTCCTATTATTTTTCTTACAAATTTTATAGTTTTAGCTTTCATACTCAGGTTTTGAATTAGTTTTTATTCATCGTATGAGGAAAGGGTCCAACTTTATTAACATTTTTGCATATGGATAGCCACTTGTCTAGCCCCATTGGTTGAAAAGACTATTCTTCCCCCCATTGACTTGTCTTTGGCACCACTGTTAAATTTGAAGGTCTCTGTAAGCAATTTTTGGAGTATAAAGCAATGGGGAAATTTTAAAGGATTTTAAGTAGGGAAATGATCCAGACTGCTTTAGTCAACAGGCAAGGAATGAAAAGAGACTAAACTAAGATAGTAAATGGGAATTAGCATCTAAAAAACGAGCTTCTATACCCCCCAAAATACTTCATTCAGATTACTCCTTTGCCTTGGTTTCTATATTTTTCCTTACACAGCGCTTAAATTCCCTTTGTACTTTTTTTCCCCCTTTGTACTTTTAATAATGATTATAAACTCCCTTTTTTGTTTGCTGGATGGGGTCATGTGGGGTTTGGTAACCTTTAGTTTGCTCATTAGAATCTTTGATTATGTTATACTAAGCTGCGAATTATACTGATGACTTAAGTTCTTTTGTATTGAATTTTTATTTTTTAAACAGAAAACTGGAAATATCTTCTGGAAAACTAGCCAGATTTGCAGATGGCTCTGCTGTAGTACAGGTAAAAAGTCCAGTTTTTTACATTTTCATCCTCACCCAAGGATATGTTTTTCATTGATTTTAGGTAGGGGGGAGAGAGAAAAAAAAAACCCATGCGAGAGAGTAACATCAATCAGTTCCCTCCCATACATG